TGATACGTTAAGGTTACTTCCCAGTTACTGATTCCGGAAGGGCTAACCCGTGCAACAGAAGTAGGATGTATTAGTCGAAAGGTGCAAATACAGCAGCCATGCTGTAAATGAGAACAACACAGTTACATCTTTGGATGAACGCAGAAGAAGAAGAAAATGACTGGTTTAATGATCGACAACATAGCACACCCTGTATACCCATCGATGATAGGTCTCCTGCTCCTCTTCTTCTTATTTCCTCTACTCCTGGAATGCCTCGCGGTGTTAGGGCAGGAAGAGATCTCTGGAACGGGCACTTATGTTCGTTTTGAATAAATTACGATATTTTTGCGGTCCATGTTCTGCGTGGTTGACCTCTGGCTATGTTACCGTTCTATCTGTATAACATTGCTCTTCGTATGGTGCCATGTCTGCTGCTAATCTTGTTACATGGCCAAACCATTCGATTTGTTATCTTCTGCACAGATGTCTTAAGGTGTAGATGCTAACTGTTCCCGCAGGGCACGGATTATTACACGCGTCGTACTCTTCCTGGTAGCCACCATGGTGTAGCGGCTAAACGCTTTCCTGCGAATCTAACGGTCTAGGTTCAAGTCATCATATCCTTTACATAACGTCACTCTCTTCACGCCACGCCTTAAAGTCTCTCATTCTCTAGCCAATTCGTCAGCCCAGTGTGCTTTCTTAGCCAATGCATCTACAGTGTCCTGCATCCACCTTGGCGGCAGTGGACCTTTTTTTTCCGGAAATTGCATCCACCACCATTCTCGCCAGACCAGACCAGACTGTGGCGGGGACGTGTCCAAAACCCGCAGCCTTCGGGACATGATGCTGTTGACGAGCCAGTTCTCCTTGATGTCCATGTCATGCAGGATGTCGACTTGTTTTTTTTTTTTTTTTTTTTCTATTTTTGAGCCACGGTGTTCCACTGTAGCCCAAGGAGTGCCCAGTATTCTTCTTCCTCTTTTTCTTCACGTTCACCGGCTGTAAACTCCGGCGGAAAGTTCTGGTTGTTCGCCCACTTCCGGACTGCAGTCCTCTTCCAGAACCTAAGTGTTGCGCGTGCATCCGTTTGACAGATCTGACTAATTTTCATGCAGATGCACTCTAACTTCGAAGGAATCTCCCAATTAGTCGACTCTGCGACATGCCTTTGGGTAAGCAGTGGGTCTATCCTTGTTTTCCCTATAATAAAGCCCAGAAACCCACACGGAGACGCCCAGTATCATTTATCTGGGTCTGCATCTATCCTTCAAACCGTTGATTAATTTCTATTGCATCTCTTCTGGTCATAAGACCCAAGTCCACACGTTGTCTATTTTCCTATAGTTGCGCAAAGTTTTTTTTTTCATCAGTCATTTATTGTCGAGAAATTAGTCAATTAATCCCAATAACATATTTTTTCAGGAAGCCGATGTGGTGCAGCGGTTAGACGCCCATCTGTGGGTCTGAATGTAGTCAGTTCAAATCCGAGCCGAGTAAAACTTTTTTCTAAACTGACCTTGACTCTCAGGTCGACCAAGCCTTAAATGGGACCAGGTGACATCTGGAAAGTAAAGGCGACCGACTTGATGTTAAACACATCACTCACCGATTGCTGAATGGTCTATACAAAATATGTCTAGCACTATATACTCAATACTTTTAATCGCGTGGAAAGCGGTTGTTAGAGGCCAGTTCGGCTACGGGATGAACGGATTTGATGATAGTGAATCATCACGTATGTACTAGCTGACCCTCAGTAAAACTCAGTAAGAGAGCGGGCAGCTTGACCACGGAATAAACTGGGTCGAGTTAACTGGCTAAGCCCAGGGCCCAAGGTTAACACGGATCACCTCGTGTCGAGGGATGAACGCGGGAAGGAGAACAAAAAGCTTGGACAGAGCTTGCTGAGGGGGAGTTGTGTAGTGGACATTGGACTGGACGAGACGTAGCGCTTTGACTAGGTAAAAGTACATTAGTTTAGTGACGGCTAGAATAAATAGTATTTGTGTTTAGTATCTTTAATAGGCTGTGTTTCCATTTAATGTTTCGACAAGATAGTGTAGAGTTAATGTTCCTTGTATAGTAGACGTTCCACGCAGTGAAGCAGCTAGTGAATGTGTGACACGCATTGTTAAAGGCGGTATCACTGACCAGTCCCGCTTAGGCCATACACCTTACGTGTGCCGCTGAGTCCCGTGTGACAATAGACGGCAGCTTAGTTTGCACTGATAAACTGTTAGTTTGGAATCGTGTCCTTGGTAATGAAAAAGCTGCTCAACGCCAACGTTTCGGATAAGGACTGCCAACTCAGTTAAGGTGTCTCTAGCTGTATTGTTCATTGTACATTAAAGATTATGTTTGTACTCAGCAGGTGCGTGTCTTGAGTGTGTCCAGGGTAGTGAAGTCTGTTAGCTGGCCTATATAGCGAGCCATAGAAAATACATTATTAGTAAAGTAGGTCTCTGACAGCGGTTCTTATTTCAATACATTTTCTAGAAGAGGGGGAGCCGTTCGATATATTTTAGCCTCAACGTTGTTTCGCCCCTGCTGTCCATAAAATAGATACTCCAAATGTTTTTGTTTTTACTAAATGCTACCTGTCCACAAGTTGAAAACCACAAGTTTTGATCACACATACACCTGGTAATCACTGTGTTACACTGACTGGCACCCATCCGAACGACACAACTATTGTAGAAATGTGTGAAAACCTGAATGGAGAGGGAATTTTTACGGCCACTGAATAACATAAATGGCCACTGTATTTGATTCTCTACCAATGCACTTTTAAAATGTATTTATAATGTGCCATTGCATTAGCATTATAATAGTGTCTGTCTGTTAAGGTCTCGTAAATTCTTGAGTATAAATTGTGGATACTGTTATTTGCTGGATCAATATATGATTTGATTGCTAGAAGTTGGTGTTGTTTATGGTATTTTAGTGCTTTTGTGACTTATATCCGTGAATGTTTGTAAGTCTGCCCTATCAGTCAGTAAAATAAGTGTAGAATGAGTAGACGGGAAGCGTATGGGCAGATCAAATGTTAGACAAGTTAACAGACAAGATACAGAGTGACTTAACAGACAGAAAGACAGTTCGACCGACAGACACATTAGTACCGTGAAAGATGGCAAGTGAATAGACTTATTTTCTCTCCCTTCTCTCCCTCTCTCTCTCTCTCTCTCTTTCTCTCTCTCTCTCTCTCTTTCTTTCTCTCTCTCTCTCTCTCTCTCTCTCTCTCTCTCTCTTTCTATCTCTCCATTAACACAATGTATATATATATATATATATATATATATATATATATATATATATATATATATATATATATATATATATATGAACAGTCCGTGGCTTCTTCAGACTCAAAGACCTCTCTGTCTACACTGCAAAGGTCGTAAAATAAAGGCAGGAATGGGCAGTTTGGCAATGTATATATATATATATATATATATATATATATATATATATATATATATATATATATATATATATATATACTGTGTGTGTTAAAAAACGGAACAAATATATATATATACTGTGTGTGTTAAAAAAACAGAACATATATATATATATATATATACTGTGTGTGTTAAAAAAACAGAACAAATATATATATATACTGTGTGTGTTAAAAAAACAGAACAAATATATATATATATATATACTGTGTGTGTTAAAAAAAACAGAACAAATATATATATATACTGTGTGTGTTAAAAAAACAGAACAAATATATATATATATATACTGTGTGTGTTAAAAAAACAGAACAAATATATATATATACTGTGTGTTTTAAAAAAACAGAACAAATATATATATATACTGTGTGTGTTAAAAAAACAGAACAAATATATATATATACTGTGTGTGTTAAAAAAACAGAACAAATATATATATATACTGTGTGTGTTAAAAAAACAGAACAAATATATATATATATATATATATATACTGTGTGTGTTAAAAAAACAGAACAAATATATATATATACTGTGTGTGTTAAAAAAACAGAACATATATATATATATACTGTGTGTGTTAAAAAAAACAGAACAAATATATATATATACTGTGTGTGTTAAAAAAACAGAACAAATATATATATATATATATACTGTGTGTGTTAAAAAAACAGAACAAATATATATATATATATATACTGTGTGTGTTAAAAAAACAGAACAAATATATATATATACTGTGTGTGTTAAAAAAACAGAACAAATATATATATATACTGTGTGTGTTAAAAAAAACAGAACAAATATATATATATACTGTGTGTGTTAAAAAAACAGAACAAATATATATATATATACTGTGTGTGTTAAAAAAACAGAACAAATATATATATATATACTGTGTGTGTTAAAAAAAACAGAACAAATATATATATATATACTGTGTGTGTTAAAAAAACAGAACAAATATATATATATACTGTGTGTGTTAAAAAAACAGAACAAATATATATATATACTGTGTGTGTTAAAAAAACAGAACAAATATATATATATACTGTGTGTGTTAAAAAAACAGAACAAATATATATATATACTGTGTGTGTTAAAAAAACAGAACAAATATATATATATACTGTGTGTGTTAAAAAAACAGAACAAATATATATATATATACTGTGTGTGTTAAAAAAACAGAACAAATATATATATATATATACTGTGTGTGTTAAAAAACAGAACAAAATATATATATATACTGTGTGTGTTAAAAAAACAGAACAAATATATATATATATACTGTGTGTGTTAAAAAAACAGAAACAAATATATATATATACTGTGTGTGTTAAAAAAACAGAACAAATATATATATATACTGTGTGTGTTAAAAAAACAGAACAAATATATATATATACTGTGTGTGTTAAAAAAACAGAACAAATATATATATATACTGTGTGTGTTAAAAAAACAGAACAAATATATATATATATACTGTGTGTGTTAAAAAAACAGAACAAATATATATATATACTGTGTGTGTTAAAAAAACAGAACAAATATATATATATATACTGTGTGTGTTAAAAAAACAGAACAAATATATATATATACTGTGTGTGTTAAAAAAACAGAACAAATATATATATATACTGTGTGTGTTAAAAAAACAGAACAAATATATATATATATACTGTGTGTGTTAAAAAAACAGAACAAATATATATATATACTGTGTGTGTTAAAAAAACAGAACAAATATATATATATACTGTGTGTGTTAAAAAAACAGAACAAATATATATATATACTGTGTGTGTTAAAAAAACAGAACAAATATATATATATACTGTGTGTGTTAAAAAAACAGAACAAATATATATATATACTGTGTGTGTTAAAAAAACAGAACAAATATATATATATACTGTGTGTGTTAAAAAAAACAGAACAAATATATATATATATACTGTGTGTGTTAAAAAAACAGAACAAATATATATATATACTGTGTGTGTTAAAAAAACAGAACAAATATATATATATACTGTGTGTGTTAAAAAAACAGAACAAATATATATATATACTGTGTGTGTTAAAAAAACAGAACTGTGTGTGTGTTAAAAAAACAGAACAAATATATATATATACTGTGTGTGTTAAAAAAACAGAACAAATATATATATATATACTGTGTGTGTTAAAAAAAACAGAACAAATATATATATATACTGTGTGTGTTAAAAAAAACAGAACAAATATATATATATATACTGTGTGTGTTAAAAAAACAGAACAAATATATATATATACTGTGTGTGTTAAAAAAACAGAACAAATATATATATATATACTGTGTGTGTTAAAAAAACAGAACAAATATATATATATATACTGTGTGTGTTAAAAAAACAGAACAAATATATATATATACTGTGTGTGTTAAAAAAACAGAACAAATATATATATATATATACTGTGTGTGTTAAAAAAACAGAACAAATATATATATATATACTGTGTGTGTTAAAAAAACAGAACAAATTTATATATATATACTGTGTGTGTTAAAAAAACAGAACAAATATATATATATATATACTGTGTGTGTTAAAAAAAACAGAACAAAATATATATATATATATATACTGTGTGTGTTAAAAAAACAGAACAAATATATATATATATACTGTGTGTGTTAAAAAAACAGAACAAATATATATATATACTGTGTGTGTTATATATATATATACTGTGTGTGTTAGAAAAAAACAGAACAAATATATATATATACTGTGTGTGTTAAAAAAACAGAACAAATATATATATATACTGTGTGTGTTAAAAAAACAGAACAAATATATATATATACTGTGTGTGTTAAAAAAACAGAACAAATAAATATATATACTGTGTGTGTTAAAAAAACAGAACAAATAAATATATATATATATGGCGGAGAAAGTTAATGAAGCTCTAAAAAGAAAAAGAAAAAAAAATAGAGGATACTTTTCCTACGCCTACAGACAAACTAGGCTTAGATGGATAAACGTATATTTTATAGAACAATCGGCACTCGGTGAATGATCTGCTCGGCACCAAGACGGCCGTCTTTACTTTCCATGACTTTTAGCTAGTACAAATTTAAGGCTGAGAGCTCTGCTCCCTAGAAATTAGGGGGGGGGGGGGGGGCTCAAGGTATCTGAGCTCCCAGATTCCGTCACCCATGCTCCCTTTTTCCCCCTCCGATAAAGCGTAGGCAGTCAAGCTGTTTCGTAATTTTAAACAAGTCTTGGTGTTTTAACTATGCAGAAGTCTTTGACAGTTTCATTCTGGGATAATTAGAGCAGAACAGCCACAGTGAGGTAATGTTATAGAGTTAACTCAAGTGTGATAAGACTTGCGGAACGATAACAAACGTGATTCGCTTGTAGAAATGGGAAAACTTGCGATGATGAGATTGTTTGCTTGTCTGGATCCGTTGATTAGGATAAGAAAATATTTAATTCATTCCTAGTTCTGCTGCCTTGTTGGCATGATTGGCCCACAGATTTCATCGCGGGTTGTAATTCCGAAATACCAGCTTCAATTCCAGTTTAACAGCAGACCGTTTTACGTTGATTTCTGCAATATTGTCGAGAGGCGGCTGTTAAGAAGCAATAGCAAATTTACTGAACATAAAAAGCGGATTGGGTGGAAAGAGTAGTTTAAAAAAAAGTATCTTAACAACAGAAATATCGACATAAAAATTCAGTGAAAAATATTTTTCATTTCATAAGCCCAGAGTGAATATGTTTTTAGAGCCGTATTTGTATAGGTCACCTGGTACGCGATGGGTGATAAGGTAAACATAAAACCAGCTGCTATTTTTTTGCTAATTTTCAGTCCCAATTCACAGCACACATCAGCAAATATAGATAGTAAACATGGCAGCTTCTCCTCTAAGTTGGTAGTAATTGTCGCATCATGTGCAAACAGCAGCTCACCAATAAGTACCATTCTATTCCTGGTTTTGGCCTTCAGCCTACGAGCATGGTAAAGGCTGCCTTCAGATCGAGAATGGGTGGATATACCCCACTCCTGATCTCGCACAGTTGTCTGCAAAAGAAGGGAGAAGTATATTCCAAAGGGTAGGAGAAAGTACACATCCCTGCTCCTCTTTATTGTTGATTACAAACTCCTCTGATATGACACGGTCTAAGTTGACTGCACCTTTCATAGTTGTGTGAAACTACTCTATAATACTCAGTAGGGTAGGTGGACACCCAATCTTTTTTAGCAAGTTGAACAGACCTTTACGTCTAACTAAATCAAATGCCTTAATAAAATCAATAAAACCAGTATAAGTGGTTGATTTTGTTCTGCGGCATTTTCCCTGCCACTGCTGTAATGAAAATATATTAATGGTAAACTGGTTCTCATGAAAGCCACACCGTGACTCTGGGAAAACCTGGTATCCTGGGATCTGGAGTCTTGGAAGAACAATTCTCGCAGGAATTTTTCTAAAAGTACCCAACTGTGAAATCCCATGACAGTTACTGCAGTCACTCCGATCACCCTTGTTGTTGTACATACTCGGAGTTATGATGCCTGAAGTCGAAGTCTTGTGGAACCTGTCCCCCACACCAGCAGAGTGTTATTAGCTGATGAATGTGTGGGGTTAGAATGTCTTTCCCATCCTGATGATCGCAATAGGAATTCCATATCTGGAGCTTTCCCCGAAGCCAGTTCATCAAAAGCATTCATAACTTTGCGGGACATCGGAAGCCTCTCCTGGCAGTGTAGAAACGTCGCAGGCTAGCTTAGTTTGGGCACTTGGTGAGACATGATTCGATTTCAAAGACTGTACTTCAAGGAACATTGGAGGAAAAAAGGAGGGGGAAAAGGGGAGGGGGTGGGGGGTTGACAGACCAGGGCAAGTCTTAATTCTATGCGTTAGAACAGGACACACTGGAGTTCTCAGCCACATACATGTACACACAATTTAAGATTTGAGAATCAGCCATGTGTGTATGTGGATTGGCACCTGAGACAACAGATCAAGTCCTTAAAGAAGGTCCGAAATACAACATATCGAGAGAAACCAAAGAGTAACACCGATGCAATTCAAACTTTACGGGTTGCTAAAGGAATTACAAAAGACAGTGAAGCTCATACAAGAGACAACATTGCATATATAGATAATCTATTTTAAGCGAACAAAAAAAAAAGAAGAAAAGGGTAAATATTAAAGGGGAAATTAAAGGTTCACTATTACGGTGGAACTCTAACAGCAACAAATTTTAGAAACCATAACCTAGTTATACTGAGGCTACATAAGTTTACTAAGTAACTTGAGGTCCTGCATGGGCTCACATGAAGATAGTATTACCAATATGACAACAATAGAGCAGACAATAACTATAAGTGATAAATAGGATAGCGCTATCTCCTGTTTACTATAATAACGTCCGGAAATGTCAGACAACACAAGATATCACAGCAAAGGATAAAGCTTACTAATGGGACAAATAGATATCTCATTTTTGCAATGCTAGTACCAGAAAATGCTAGACACACACAAAATATAGCATGACAGCAAAAGAGAGGACAGTGATAGTAATTTACCCTACATTCGAAGCATCATTATTCCACTGATCATCATTTAGCTGGCTGTGTCGTTAAATAATTTAACAGTTGTTCTTTGTGGTTGAATAACTCGCATGCGTATGATATTCGCGAACGTTTGTTGAATCTGCTTATTAAAAGACCAACAATGTATCACTTTCTGCATCCGATCCGACATTTATTGGATAAATGGCTCCATTTTGTGGCCAGACACCTCTAGGATTCAGGAGGCTGCATGGTCTCGAAACATAGCGAATGCCTCGAGTGCTAGAGTTTCCGGGTTCAATCTCCGGTAAGGGCTGGGATTTTTTCACGTGGACTTGGACCCCTAGTAATTCCCCCTGGATTCTGGGTAGTGAGATCGTACGCCCGTGTGCATTGTTGCGCACGTTAAAAAAAATCCAGTGGCAGTTGAAAATCGAAAAGAGTAGCCTAACGGCGCTGCCCGGGCAAAGTTTGAAGTTAAAAATCTACGACGAGTTAGAAGAAGTACAGAGTACTTATGGCACCCGTGTGCCATGATATCGATCCGTTGTTCAAACATCAGACCTGTAAAGAGACAGTATATGTCAGTTATCATGAATGATATGTGTTTGTGAAATGACATTAAATATGTCAGACTGCCAAGATTTGTAAAACAGTTATCTGTGTACATATTTCTGTACCAAAGAAATTGGTCTTGAAAGTCTTTTCACCCTAAGCTGTTGTTTTTTCAGCATCAAAACGAACGAACTAACGAACTGTATTTGTAGATGGTTAAAAATTGGGTATGCAGGCCTGTGTTGACATATCTCCCTCTGACCTCATTGTTTATTTACATGATTCCATTTATACACTGGGAATAGCCGTGGTGTAGCGGCTAGAAGCTCGCCTGCAGATCGGAAGGTCGTGGATTCGGGTCGTGATGGAGCTGGGTATTATTCAAAAATGACCTTGGCTTTCAGGTTGACCCAGCCTTAAATTGGTACCAGGTACAATTATGGGAAGTAAAGGCTGCCGGCCTGATGTTGACCACATCACCCATCAAGTGCCGATGATCTATAGGTCTAGCCCTCTGTGCCCAATAAGCCTGAATAGGCGGAATTAACTTTTCTATTCATACATCATAGAGTCAACAGCTAAAATGCTTCAGAGATGCAAATAGACGATCTTACCTAATTTTGTGTGCTGAAAACACAAGTGACATTTAAAAATGTAGATTAGTTCACTAGTTTTCAAGATGTTGATCCATTATATAAACCAAACGTTATTTGTATTGCTGTAAATTCATCATTGAAAAAGGTCAACTGGTAAATTTTATTATATTTGAAATCAGTATGTCAAAATCAAAGATAAATTATGTAATAAAATACTGAAGTAAAATACATTTGAAAATTTATCGACTAGTGTAATCAACGACGACTGGGTCTTCATTAGAAAAGCTGGAATTTGGTTCTAATTATACCAACATTTCTAAACAATAATAATATTAAGTATTGCAAGTGTTAAAATAAAAATATAAGGAAAGCATACAGTATGCTTAAAGAAAGTCTGACGAAAGATTTCCAGCTGGCATAAATAACCACCTAGGAAAATAATGAGTGTACTACTTTCAAAAAAAAAAAAAAAAAAATTACTAGAGAGGCCTGATTTTTTTTAGGTTTCGATCAAATGTGGAAAAAAATAAAATAACAGAACACGTTATATACTGGGTGGGAAAAACGGAAAAGTTGAAATAAATGAAAAAGAAATAAACAGAGGGGAAGAAATTATGTGTAGGCATGCCGACTTTTGAGCCATTATCGGTACACTAGAACAGAGGTTCTCAAGCTGGGTGACGGGGCAAAAATAAAGAATAGTCGGCAAAAAATTGTGACATTAATAAAAAAGGCACGAAGAACCTTGAAAGTTACAATTTAAGTTGTCTTTCCTCACCACTGCCGAAAAGATTCACACTCAACATGTATCAACTGCAAAAATGCCAACCGCATATTTATCTCGAGGTGCGACCGATCCTCCATCTGTTTTCGTGTAAATGCAGTGTATAAATACAATTGTGATTACATTTTGGCTGAAATTTTAAGGTGGGTAATGTGGTCTTTACATTAGTAACTGATAGATTGGTCAAGTACTTATATTTACAGGAAGGGCATTTGTGTGTGTGCTTGTGTGTGTGTGCTTGTGTGTGTGTTTGTGTGTGTGTGCTTGTGTGTGTGTGTGTGTGTGTGTGAGTATGTGATCATGCAATTTTTCGGGGTTTTTTTAGTGTTAATTTGCCCAAATCAAATTTTAAAGATATTGCTAACGAGAATATGAAGGTGCGTTTAAATTATATCTAACGAACGGCATAGCGAACGATGACTGAAATGCGAATTCGGTTGCATTCGTTCGTGTTTGGCTTTGTTTCGGTTGGGAACGAAAGGGCACCAGGAGGGCAGTGCGTAAACTGACATAGAAGTGTTTCTAACGGCTGCTTTGTTCCGTCCTAATTAAAGAGTCATTTGGAATGCAATGATTCTCATTTAGTACATGAATGTTAGGAAATATTTAAACGCTGCGCTTTTTTTTTCCCAGGGAGGGTTATTCATTATGAAGAGAATTTCTAAAAATAAAAATGAAAAGGATATAATGACAAATTCACCCAAACAGTTTCATCAGTCGCATTAAAGACAACTGGACATGAAATCTCCAACTTCCCTCCCCTCCCCCTCCCCATCTTTCCCTAGTTTTTCAACCGTTTTAAGTGTAGGTGTGCCTCGAATTTTGTTTAGCCTCACAAGGGTGCCGGGTCGATAAAAGTTTGAGAACCCCTGCACTAGACTGTTCAGGAAACTCTAACTTAAAGGAACAGCGTTAGTTCGATCAATCGATCAGTTTGTTCCCACAGGGGTACCTGCAGGTTTACCAAAATATCATGGGGGTACACTAACAATGTAGATCCCAAAGGCATATCCCCCAGAAAGTTATCGTTAGGGCACTCCCATAGTGGCTACACTTCCCAGGTATAACCTGCAGGCCTATGCGGGTAATGACGAACAATTATTGGTCTTGGCTTGCTTTGCGAAACAAAAATTCGTCACGTTTAACCAGCATCTACTAGGGAGGAGCTTTTGGTTATAATTGTGACTAGCTTATGTGCGCCATATAAAATAGCTTAACATTGCTCGTCATCAAGTGGCCCTGAAAAGGACTCTTGCACCCAAATACTGTCCCGATCTGTGACGAAATCATCTACCGGGCAGTCAGTGTGTGACATGGTCACTAGTGTTTGGTTTACTTTACTTGCTTTGCAGAAAAATAAAATCGTCACGTTCAATCAGCACCACTTATAAGTAGGAGCTTTAAATTATAATTCTGACTTGGTTAATGTGCGTCATATAAAATGGCTTATCATTTCTCGCCATCAAGTAGCCAGGAAAAGGACTCTTGCACTGTTGATGCGATCAATGGAGACAGACCCAAGTACAGTCCCCACCAGCGACGAAGTCGTTTACTGGCCAACCAATGTGCGACCCGGTCCCCGGTGCAGTGTTGGGTTAAACAATTTTTTTTTATTTTTATATGCTGAACTAGTCATGCTCAAGTGGTTTGTTGAAAACATGAAACGTACCCCAGTTCCAGATTTCTAGATAACTGTTTTAAGTCAAATAAAGAATAACCGAAACAGTGGCTGTTTAAAAATTCAGCAAAAGAAACGGATCAAAAGCAAGCAAAACTAACTATAAATAAATGAACATGTTAAACACACTAACAGGGTATAGACAAAGAGACACATTCTTTGATATCTTGGCCCGTAGCAGGGGTGGATTAAAACACAGACAGGATCCATGATTATGGTGATCGTGTGAGATGATGTACGATGACTGTCAACGTTCAAACGTCCGTGGAACATGATGATGACGATGAAACATACTGCCTGTAGTGTAACAAAAAAAAAAAGTGGGGGGGGGGGGGAGAGAAATTGGAGGCAGATGGAATGTAGTTTTGAAAAAGCACAGCGAGAACATAATGTATGTTGTCTGTGTATGTGTATTGTTCAATTCCACCAAGACCGTAGAACTAGCGACCACCATCCGCTGACACAAAGGGCTACCATTCGGATGAGGATCACCCGGGCCAACTACAGCCAGAGTTGAGCTAAAAAATAACTTCTTTTTGTGTCTTTTCGAAGTTGTAGGTAGAGTGGGCAGGTCTGCAGAATGTGCTCAGGTGTTTGTGGTCCTGTTTGACAGGCACACTGTGGGGACTATTCAGTCTTTAATTTATGTGTGTTGTAATTGAGCCTGCAGTGTCCTAATCGTAGACGGAAAAAAGTTGTATCTTGCTTTATGTTGAGTCTGCTGATGTGGTCTTGTGTACGTTTCGTTTACTGTTAGTTTGTTCTCTTCACAATTCCTTGCATTTTCTCTTGATTAGTGTTCTGATTTCTGGTAATGACAATAAATGGGCGGGTTGTTTCTCCTTTGTTCAATTTTTTTTTCTCAAGTCTGTCTGCTAACTTTTTTAATGGTATGCTGCAGTGAGCCGGGATCCACTGAAGAACGATTTGATTGTTTTCTGTGAGTCTATTTAGCTGGCTGGTCAGTTCTCTCTCCATATTGTCTCGTTGATCCCTATGAGTCGCCTGGATGACTGACATGCAGTCACAAAGGAAAATAATTTTGCTGTTTTTATTTCTTTAAGAACTTTGGCTCGATCAATAATTGCTTGCTGCTCTACTCTGAAGTTTGTTGAGAGTCTTCCGGAAGCGCATGAGGTTTCTACTGTTGCCCCATCTTGCAGCGTGAAGACCGATCCAGCACCTTCGTTTTTTTTTTTACTGCTCCCTTCAATGATCCATCGGTCTTTAAAGTAACGAAAAATTAAGTCCGACATTGGGACGGGATTATTTGATTTAGTCAGAGAAGACAACAAAGGCTGCGGTAATGAGATCTGCAACCAGCGGTGCTGACACATAAGGAAAACGCATTTATTATTATTGGAGCCGCGCGAGTGCCTTGGCTACCTACAATAAACAGCATGGCAAGACACTTCACCATTAACACTAGTCATTCATTCCCTTGTGGGATGCAATGTGTCGTTGTTTTGAAGCTCCACCCTGGCTCTTGCCAAGGACCGTGTAAAGCCCGACCATAAATATGGTCTAATGGCTGAACGCGGTTTCTGGGACCTCTCCACGGGTGATCCTCGTCCACATGGTGGCACTTTGTGTTAATCGCTTGTGCGATGTCCTGGTTGGGTAAAATGTACTACTACTACTACTTCACCGTTATAACTAGAATCAGTCTGTAGTTTGTTACCTGGACTCATAAAGGAGGCAACCACATGCAACATCTAATCATGCTATGGATGCTGGAAAACTTTCCTCACTCTATTCCACCTCGTGCTGTTATTTGTCCTCCCCTCCTTTTGTTCTTTTTTATATTTTTTTCATTTTCGTTCTTGTTCTCCTGCTTTCTTTGTCTTCTTCTTCTCCCCTCCTCCATTTCTCTTTTGCTCATCAGCATCAATTGAAATCATGTTAACTTCTCACAGAATGAACAAAACACAAACAGTGGTCTAATTTCACTCAGTCCCATATTTTTCTTTGAAGTACAGTCAAACACCTCATAACATATTCAAGATTACCACAAAATATAATTATTTGGCTTGTTATTTTCCCTCTATCGTTAGAGTCCTTGCTTAGAATCTGCAGAAACTTTTTTTCCCCCAACGTGGTGTGTCGAAATCATTTTGCAAGCAAGTTTAGGGTAAGATGGATAGGCTTTGAAAACTCGTCTCTCGATGGTTGAACTCGCTCGTTTCGCATCAAGCTACAGGAAACTTAATCAGTGTTTTAACTGTTTCACTAAACTACACCGTAATGCGAGAACACTTCGTCGTCATGTTGTGCTGTTTATAGCTTCAAAATGTATTCAGTTGTCTACTCTGCTCATTTCTATCTGGTGCAACCCGTTCGATGAAGAATAGCAATAAAATCAAACGTTATTTTCACGATTGTAACAACACAATACAACTTAGACTGTTTCCTTAATTTAAAAAAAAAAAAAAGTGGTAATAAAGTGGTTAATGTAGAACTTTGGGAGAGAACTAAACAGGCTCCAGTGGATCAGGAAGTGAGGAAAAGACGCTGGCGTTGGATGGGGCACACACTGAGAAAACAGGAGAACAGTATTACTAGAATGTCTTTGCATTGGAACCCACAGGGGCATAGGAATAAAGAAAGGCCAAAAAACACATGGAGAAGAGAGCTGGAGAACGAGGTTAGAAAGATTGGGAGGACATGGGGAGAGCTCCATGCAATGACGAAGGATAGAACGACTTGGCGTGAGTTGGTTGAGGGCCAATGCTCCACTGGGGGATAGAAAGGCAGAAGAAAAAAGAAGAAGAATAAAGTGGTACAAGACTTCTTGGCGTCCGTCGTGCTGTGGCGGCTAGACGCTCGTCTGCGCATCGGAAGGTAGTGGGTTCAGATCCTGACGGAGCCAAAGTTTTTTTTTTTTTTTGAAAATGATCTTGGCTTCCAGCTCGACCCCGTCTTGAATGGGTACCAGTTACAGTCCTAGAAATTAATGGCGGCCAGCGTGGTGTTGAAAACTTCACCTATCAAGTGCCGATTGGTCTGTAAAATATACGTCTAACCCTATATGCCTAATATACCTTAGGGTGTAGAAAGGGTTCTTTTACAAGACTACATGCTTGCATTTCCTTTGCTTCCGTTCTCATTCCGTTTTAATTTTTACTGTAACAGTATTAATATTAATCCAGTTCTTTCGGTATTTTTAAAAGCATTCTGTCAAAGTACAAAAGACTTATCATTTTCCATTTTTAGTTTATGGTGTCAATTTTCACAAAAACATTATGGGTATGATGGTAGTTGTTCGTGTAATTTTAATAGATATCAGTTGCAAGTTTCTTAAATATAATGGTAGTTTTTCGTGTAATTTTCAAGTATTTTAACCAAGCATAATCAACATTTCTAACGGATGCATATGGGTTATTTTTCTATTTTGTTCCACCTTCCAATTTGAATTTTATCAGTGATAACAAAAATATAGTTTATGCGAGCTGTTTTTGCACTTTTTAAAGAATTTTATCAAAACGGATAAATCATTCTCACTTGGTAAATATATTGTTTAATTTTAATTTCAGATGTCAACTTCTGAACTGGATTGTTTCTGGCTGATGGTGTTTTGCTGTCTGCGGGTGTAATTCTAAAGACGATACATCTTTGAATTCTAATCTTCTATGAATTGCCAATGATCGGAAGAAACGGCTAAGTAACAGCTTCTGATACCATCCGCATCCGGTTTTCGCCTTCCTCAAGACTTTCATTACACCTATCTGCCATGTCGAGAGTAGGAGACTGTATAGTACGTGCCTGCAGCAGCCTCCACGACATCCCTGCTGCGTTTTTGTGCGTGGCTATATTTATACTGCAGACAACTGTCATGGACTACTATTTAATAGCAAATATTTCTTTGAATCATTGGTCCTGGATAGGACCTGACATCATCAGCTTAACACTGCTTGTAGTTTCAATTGTCAACTCGTATGTTGCACTGCACGGAACTAATAACCGCCAGCGCCATTTTTACAGCCTGGCGTGGATCTCCTGGTTGTTTATGAGTATTTTTGTCTCTGTGAAGACAATCGTTGTTTTCAACGTTTTCGCCTCACAGCTCGACGAAGAAGACGCGTCATATTTTGGCCCAAATACTTTAAAAACCGCCATAGCGCTGGGCAGCTGTATTTTCTTCCTTCTGCTGACCACTCAACATGATGCTCCGCTGGGCAGTGAGAGAAGACGGTACATCGAAGAGCTGACCGGTACAGTGGTCTTTGACATCTTGGACACCGTAGATATTCTGGAGATTCTTTTCACCCAAAACAAAGTGGACACTTTTTGGGATGGCCTGAAAGAGTTTATTTTGGCTGTGGCCACGTTAAATTTACTCATCCCAACAGTTCCTCTTTTAACTCTTTGCAAAACTAATTTTGGGCACGCTGAACTTGACAAAAGGCTCATTTACTTGCATAGATTACTGGTTGTCCTCGCTGTGAATGTTCCGAATCTGCTGGTTCGATTGATTCTGTGGAACGGGTTTAGTGCGGCCATTTCTCCCTTTACGCTAAAAAACCTCATTCTTATCGCCATGTCTTTATATGAATTTTACCAACATAAAAAAGAGAAATACGAAGAACATCAACGGGAGGAAATAGAAATGAAGAATACCAAAGAAAATCAACATTTTAGCAATCAGTTAAATTCTCGTGACAAAGCAAAGAATACGGATGAATGCGAGAGCAGTCAGAGTGAAAAGAGAGGAGACAGTGAAAATGGCTTTTCTATTGAGGATAGAATTGTTACAGATATCTAAACGTTGCTTTTATTGATCTTCCAGTTCTTAGTTCATCCTCTTGAAAAATAAATTATTTTACAGTAGTTTCCTTTTGGAGATGGATTTGTTATAGACATTTTAACATTGCTATTATTGATATGCTAGTGTTTTACTTCACCATCTTTTAACACATATTTTCTAACAGCCGTTTTTCTATTGAAGATGGCATTTTTACACACATTTAAAAGTTATTATTGTTATTGTACGGCATCATTGTTTATCTCCTTCGTCTTCAAATCTAAATGATAAATAAATAACCATTTCTCAAAGCAGAGAGAATACCTACCTACATGAAAAACGTTGCTTTAGTTAATCTACAAGAGTAAGTTCCTAAACTATGAACCCTGATCAGTTTATGACCACCTTTGCAGGCTCAAGACAGAATTGTTACAACCTAAAAGTTGCTACTAAATTATCTGCTAGTGCGTTGTTGTGGTTCATCACCTTATACATAGATCTACGCGCATTTGGGTTCTGTTGGGGATAGGATTGTTACATATATGTAAACATTTGCATTGTTGCTCTGCCAGTGTTAGTCCGTAATTTTTCAACCCTGATCAATGTACGACCCTTGCATGCCGAGGACAGACTTGTACACACTTCTAAACGTTGCTATTATTGATCAGCCAATGAGTGATTCATCATCTCTCAACACAGATCCTACTAGGGATTTAATTGTTACAAACATGCAAACGTAATTATCGTCTCTTTGCCAATGATAGTACCTCATCTTCCAACCTAGTGAACAAAGAAGAAGAAGAAGAAGAAGAAGAAGACCAGTGAAAACGTGATGAGACCAGACAAGATCATCTTAGTGGGAGCCAACATATAATAATTAGTCAATAGACTCCCGGTCAGTATGGCGGATTGGTACGTTTACTGTTTTTAGTCCTGGTAAGTTCTTCCTTCTGACAGTAGTTAGCCGTTACATTTTCCTCACTATGTGGACTGAATGGATTATAGTTTCGTCCCCTAGCTACTGGGCTGAATGCATGACGCGACACTGTGAGTTGCGGATTTCATTTGAAATGCTTTTCGACTGTGCCCATGGGTTTTGTGTTGTGAACTGCAGATTCGGAAAACGAAGAGTCGTTTGTTTGCCAGGGAGCTGGTGGTGCCTTATGCGATTAACTGCATGTGCAGCTACTGATCTATGTGCTAACTGGTGCTTTCATTTTCAATGGACTGCATTTCTGGTGTCGAAAGGTTTATTTTTCCACTTCTGTTGGCTGCATTATGCATTTATGCGAGCATATGCAACTGGCTTTGCTGAGACTGCAGTCTGTGCCAATTGTTTCACAAGGGGAAATAATGGATATTCCATGTGGTTTGCTTTGGAGCAGAAACGGCGCAACTATAGAGTGACTCATTTGCAATGAAGTTGGAACCGCGATTAGCTAGAACTGATGTCTTCAGCCGCTATAAGTCGGGTGATTTACTGAGGAGAGAATCCGATAACTTATAAACTGAATGGTTCAGTATGCAGAGGTTGATATGTCGACTGACTAAGAAGACTTACAAACCAGTCTTCCATATATTTTGTAACCAAACTAACCGCACATTTATAACATGTCTTGCACGTTATGATCTGTTTCCCCTCAAAGCGTGTTGACTTACTATTACATTTTTTCACAAATAATATCATGTATTTTGATTGGTCAGTTCCTCTAACCCCAAATGATTAGAGAATATAGTAATTATATTTTCAAAAATGACCTTGACTCCAACCAAGGTCGACCAAGCATTGAGTGGGTACGGGGTAGTAAAGGCCGTCGGCGTTATTGCTGACCACATCACCCATTTTGTGCAGATTGCTCTATACAAATATAGGTCTGGCCCTATATGCTGTATACGTCTACAGGCGTGGAAAAAGGACCTTTACTTAGTAATATGTGGTAATATCAGGTAAATATATACTTTTAGATGCAAATCCCCTAACCCGTACACGACCGCAAGGCACCCCACCTGGTGCAGCCGTTCAAGGTGCCCTAATTATAACTTCGCTTCCCCTGGTGGGTTCTGGGGACCACGTTGTGGAGGAAGAAGAAGGAACTCACAGCTCCCAGGTAGCTTGTTGTGAAAGGCGACAAATTAGGGGTGTTTCCTTCGAAGTCGGGGTGCTCCCGCTTGAGAGGCGAGGAACCAACGGTCTACATACAAATAAACCAGATCGGTAAAACAAGACCGAAGTACAGAAGTAAAAGAACAACCAAAACTTTCCGCTAATTAACGTTAAGAATAGGAAGAAGAATGTAACTTCAAGGTAACCTCATTAAAGGATGAACAGGGTATTTGATTCTTATCCTTTTGGCGCTGCTATCTAGGATGCCACTTTTGAAGTAACAGGATGATCAAATTATCCACTAGGGGAAACACAGGCAGACAGACATATGCATAAACAAAGTCTTCTTGTCTTCTTGCAGCTCCAGTGCTCCACAAACTGTGCGCATGTTTTTGTTCGGGAAATGCTTATCTAAATCAAAACATTTTTTGGCCAAACATATTTTGTGATTTCTAAATTTGTTTTTTAGCTGCATGTACCGGAGGAAAATAATGGCTGGCCCATCATGACTCCCATTGTAAGACCTTCGGATATCTGTGGTTCTTTTCGTGGCATATCATTGATGCGTAGAAATTTGTAAACCTAATGTTCGATGTCCTTTAGATATGGTATGATGATTAACTGTCTAAATGAAGGAACTTGCATAAGGTATAACGTATAATGTGAATATGCTTATAACAATTTAGTTACTGATGTCACTTTCTATTGGTCATATATGCGCTGTGCAATAATGTTTGTCTTCCAAAGTTTACAGGTATATTCATGTGAAACATCGTCAACAGCAACAAGCGACTAGTTGAGAGCATATAACGCTGACGTCTGGGAGACCCGGATTTTAACTCCCGGAAATGGGGTTGGAGTTTGGTGGGCAAAAATTAAACAATCTCACCAGTGCAGTTCTGGTAACTGCGCTAGCCAGACGTTTCTAAATCCTTTGGCTCAAAGACCTCTCTATTCTGTACCAACCCTCTTTTCTTTTCTTCATATTATGGTTTGTGCCACTAAGCGTCGCGGGTAACAGATGGTCGGTATCCGAGCTAGGGCACACTCGGTTACCCGGTCAGCTGTGATGTTGTGTAGTCTCGATGTATCAGTCACTTTCATCAATCCAATCTTTTTCTTGATCATTCCCTTTTCTTGGTGTTTCTACTTTTATGTTGTATCCTCTCGTTACTGGTATTTTGGATTCGTTCTCATTAAATGGCCAAACCATTTTAAGCCCTTGTTTTTCAATGACAAATTACTGGACGTAAACTTGCCAAATATTGCTGGGGTTGGTTATGCAACGTCATGTAAAGGATACGCAACTAACTTTTTTTCCAATGAATTAAATAATTGATGTTATGCCAATGGTTTTTGTAATTTTCTCATCACCCTGAAAATAGTAAATAGAGGCGGTAAGTAAATGCGGAGCCTCCGTAAATAAATCACGCTGTTGAAAAGTTTGCAGATCTCCAAAACCTGGGTACAGTTAACGAGAACTTTCGTTGAAAGATGTTTCATTGTCAGTTTCTAACATTCAAATCTTCCCTCTGTGGATCCAAGGGTCTCATTTCAGGGTGTGGGGGAGAGTGCTTGGAAGAGAGATAGACCTCTTGCCCTGTAAGATGTATAAGGTTCGTTGCGTTCCTTTACAGGACGTTGCAGAACCAACCCAACAGCTCCTGGCTGTTGTGTGTGGTTTTTCTAGGCAAATTTACGTCCAGTAGTTAGCCATTGATTATGGAGGGTCGGCTCTCTTAATATCACTGTCGAAACCAACGCAGGGCGCATGGCCCGCAGCTGGGATGGAACCCGTTCGCATCGACTTAGCCACAGAGCCGACGTAAGAAGTATACTAATCATAAAAGGCAACTAGTTAATGCTGAAATGGGTCGTGTTGCGATGAAGGGCACTTATATCACTGCCTAGCTATTAATCACAACTCCGAGTTGAGGTGAGTTAAGCTGAGTTGAGTGAAGAATTGGCATCACAGCACTCGGGGCTTATCACAATTCTAATGCCAACCGCTCTTTTATGAGTGAACTCAAAGGGAGGAGGAGATGGGAAGTAACATTATTAAATGGGGTTGAAAGAAACTGATATGCACAATATATTTAAAACAAAAATAATGTACTGAATTGTGGAGACTGATGGCTAGAATACTCTGCCCCTTGCTTCTGTTGTTGTGGTTTGTATCGATAAAGGCTCCGACGGAACAGTCTTGATTATTATGTGTGGGTTTGGTCTCCCCCCGCCCCCTTTTCATTAAGTTTTTTGGACACAGTTCAGCGCATTAATTTTTTGGTACAGCATTAGCTTTGACTGCAGTCGCCCCTGTTTTTGTCCCTTTCTAAACTCTATATTGTAAGATAACCTTTTATCGTAAGACAGGTTTCTATCCGTATGTCATTTGTCTAGACCTGAAATCTCCCTGTTGCAAGTAGAAAACATGACTGGAGCAAATATTCAGTATTCTGGTGTGACTCTCCATATGGGCAGAGTTCTGAGTCCATAATCTTGAATTTATTGTGCATTTGGTTGAGGAGCCCAGTTCGCTGTATGAATACAATTGTGTTGTTGTTTTTTTTTTTTTTTTTTTTTGAACTGGTTCACTAGGTTTTCGGAACTGGGCTATGGATAGGAAATAGATTTTTAAATTTCAGTCATTGTCTTCTGTTTGTCTCTGTCATTACCTTTGAAGTTATCTTTCACACTATATCCTTGATCTCGGAGCTTTCTTGTGTCAGACAATCCACCATAAGCAGTTAATTTTAACACAAACGGGGGTTTCAAATGGGGAGTGAAGGGTCAAAGAGAATGGATTTTGTTGTCAATTTGATGATGTCTTACATTAATAATGTATAACGATTTAATACTCATTTTGTGTCAATTTTTGTTACATTAAAAAAAAATAAACAGCAAAACTACTGACTTA